GTATTTTAGATGAGATTAACATTGAAATAAGTGAGCTTTTGTGAAAGCAGATTGCCCTTAGGGTTTTGGTCAGTCTGTGTCCAGTGGGCTGAAGGCCTGAGTGGAACATGATGAACCATCTCTAAGCAGGAGCAGATTCTACCCACGGATACCTTCAGGCTTCTTCCACACCGTCAACCATCCTGAGCCCACCCTGCAGATTTTGTCTGCATATGTCTCCATAATGACATGAGCCAATTCCTTAAAATAAATATCTCTTTATCTGTCTGTCTTTCTCATAGACAGATAGATCAATTGATGCATTGATTGACAGATCAATAGAGAGACATCTCTCTCTACTTTTCTCTGTGTATCTATACACTTCCTATCTGTTCTCTTTCTTTGGACAACCCTAATAGAGACACTGACAGAAAGAGAATGTACCTGGAATTCCCCTTAGAATTGTCCATCTTCCTCTTCTTTCTGTGGTCAACCAAGCATGAGATTTTATCCCATGGGGCTTGAGGTCACAGGGCCTAGTAGGACTCTATCAACACACATGCAGTTTCCATGAGCATTCTTCAAAACCGTTCACCTCCTATGACTGGCCTCCTATGATGGTTAATTTCAAACACCAGTTAGGCTCAAATGAATTTGCATGATGCTGTGAAGGTATTTTAAGATGGGATTGACCTGTAAGTCAGTAGACGTTGAGTAAAACAGAGAACTTTCTAGAAAGTGGATGGGCTATGTCCAATCAGTTGAAGGACTTCAGAAATAACAGACAGGTTCACTGGAAAAAGAGGGAATTGTATCTCTAGAGTGCCTTTGCTTTTGAATCAATGACAGGAACCCTTCCCTGGCTCTGCAGCCTGCCTGCAAGACCACCTGCAGAATTTGAACTTGCCACCCCTCATTGTTAGGGTGTCAGTCCCTTAAAATTGATCCCCTGTTTGCCTCCTACTTCTATGCACACCTTACAAAACAGTGACTCCAAAACCCCCATTGTCTCAAGTGAGTTGGTCCTGATGAAAGGTTTCAGTCGACTTGAAAATATAAACTTTAGGAAGGAAGAGGAAATAATTAAATGTGTCTATTTCATTAATGTATTTACACATATGTACTTAAAATAGCTGATAAATATAGTGCTTACTTTAATACCATGAATAAAATAAATCTTTAAATAAATACAGACTACCTAAAATTTACCAATTACTTTATCAATTTGCATGGTGTTTATTTATTTATTTATTTATCGCAGTTTTGATTTGTTTTGAATTTTCTGAAATCAGGAATTTTTAAAAGCTATCACATCAATAGTACTTATTTTAGCAATTTGGCTCCGAAATTATCCCCTTGAGAATTCTTAAGGAAAGTGAATGTTTTCAGAATCTTGTTTCTTGAGAATTCTTCTCTATTCCCCTTAATTTTGAGAGACATAACCTTTTGGATAATGAAAGCAATCATTTAAAAAAATGAGAATTCCTGATTTCTACTTACACCCTCAACATGATTTTCAGAAAGAAAGTTCCAGATGTACAGATTGTGGTTAAAATGCTCCGTCAGGTCTAGGAGATTCGTCATTACTTTCAGAGTTCATCGTCCACGTTTTCTACCCTGTGCAAAAAAATAAAAAAAAGTAAAGGAACCCCTTTGGGACAATCAAACAAAATATCTAAAAATGTGCTTAAACTAATTTTTTCTTTCCGTGTTTCCTCCCACTAAAGTTCCCAAGCTACTAACCCTAATGGGGCGGGAGCAAGGTGGTTGGGATCCTGTAGACACCACTTGCCCTGCGCTCAGCAGTGCCCGGAGGGATGCAATGAGCAACTCCTGCAGTTTCCAGTTGTCCAGGAGCACTTTCCAAAGGTAAAAAGGAATAGCTGAACGCAATTTTAATAATGCACTGACTCAACACAATGGATCGTCATTATAAGAGGCAGTCAGTAGGAAAAGCATGCAGGAAACAGGTCCTAGTTATCTTTTTTTCCCAGTAACTCTTTAAAAATCAGGTGTGACTTTAAGCTGAATACACTTCTCATTTTGGATCTGCTGCCTTTCAAAGCTCAGCAGGTGTCTGCGATGAAGGCGGACCCGCTGGACCGTGTGGCTCTGGATGTAAGATCCAGAGAGGAACATTTTTTTTTTCCTGTTGGGAGGAACAGAGGTGCTAAATTTGCAGAGTGACTGAGGTGATATTTTGATGGGGCGAGCAGGGGAAGGGGACATTTACTTTGAGGCAGTTCTGTCCCACAGGCTGTGCTATGACTTGAATAGTGAACCTCTATAGGTTCAGCCTGCACCCTTGACATCTTGTGGCTAGAGCGACGGGTCTCCAGGGCTCCGTTTCCACAACTCAGTTTGTTCTTTTCCTCCTGCCACCCTGAGGTCAAGGTCCAAGGGGTTATGGAGAGCTCGTTGGGGTGGAGTCTATTATGCCACCATCCCCCAAAGGCTACAAGTTTTCAGTTTAAAAATATGATAGAATTTAAATTTTCACGTCTTAGACATTCACGAGGAGACACTCTGCGCTTGCCATTACTTTCTTAAACAGCCATCAAGAATGAGGTTCCAAGGTGCCCTTTATTGGACGCCTGCTCCACACTTGGTGTTTTCAAGGTACTTTAAAATTGGCCTCGCTTTATTCAATCCTCACAACACCACCAACTGGGTAAATATCCCTGTTTTATTGATGGTGGATAGAGTCCAAAATGAAGTCCTGTGTTCAAGAGCCCAGAACTGGTAAGTGAGAAGGATTTAGGCACAAGCTTTTCTCCTAGTTCAGATTCCAACGTCTGATTCCAAAGTTCATGGTTTTGCAGGGTTCCTAGAATTCTCTCCAATAGCATTACTGACTTTTCATCTGTCATGAACAACTAGCTTGAAGTGAAAGCAGTCATATTTCAATCCAGACTCTCTCACGGCTTCATACTGCATGGCTTTGGGAGAGCCGGTATTTGACTTGTATTTCTTCTGCTACAACCTGGAATGAGAAAGTCTCCTCACATGGGAACCCGTGCGGCTTGGGATCCAGGTATGCTCCAGCACTGATGAAAACCAGGAACAGTAAACCTTACTTAACTGCTTATTAATAGTGGGGTAACTGTCATATGTGCATGAATGATTAGATATTCCTTAGCCATTGAAAGTCAAGTTCTCAACGTCTAGACACTGAAAGTAATGTTAAGTAAATTTGAAAAGCACAGTCTAAGAACAATATATATCCAATGATCCTAATTTGGTAATTCACAGATGCACACATAAACACACAGGGAAAAACAGTCCGGCCGGGAAGCAGCCATTGTGGTTATTTCAGGGCCATAAGTTACAAGTGATTTTTTTTTAATGGAATACATTTCTTTAGGTTCCAGAAATCCTATAATGATCACATGTTAGTTTCGCTCCCTTAATAAGAAAAAAAAAAAGTACTTTTAAGTGGTACTCTGGTTCCCAGGAAAAGTTTAGTTTTAATGAAGACCATTTGATTCATCAAATAAAGTTTTCTGCCTCCTCCACTTAATGAACTATTTTAAGTCTCCTCTCTCCTGAGACACCCACTGTTCCTATTAATTCTGATACGCTATCAGCTGTCATTAGAACACCCCTGAGGGACTGTGCTTCTCCAACAGGCATAAAGTGAGGTCATGGGGGACGTAAAGGGAACCAGTGACTTTCCAGTTCCTCTGCCACCAGAGTGGTCTTCCAGAGAGTAACTCTCCTGGGGAACCACGGGTGTATCCTGCTCTCCTCCGTGAAGCTGGTCATGCGTATCACAATGATTTCTGGCTTTGGGTAAAAGTACTAGTGGATTCTGTCTCCTAAAATTCTCCCCAAAAGAGAATGATCCCCAAGGGTGTTCCTCCGGTGCTCAGAACTGGGACAAGAATCTTGAAACGTGGGTTTGATTTCCTTCACTGATGAATTCCGAGCTCGTTGCTGAACATCCTAGAAACAGAGCAGCCTTGTCTGTAGAAGGGATCTGGCACGTCTCAAGCTCTGAGGGTCCTGTGGGGCAACCGCCCACTCTGTGTTCGTGAGGGTCAGTGACAACCTTTGTCCATCTGAACCTGCCCCTCATGTCAACGTGGCTCCTGAGTTCTCCAAGACGTTTAGGGAGCTCTTCCCGAATTCTCCAATCAACACCAATCTGACTTTGCTTAAGTTTGAGCTAGGTATAAAGGGTCCCCCCTGCCTGCGAGAAGAGTGGAGTGGGGTGCCAGGAAGCCTCCAAGTCAAGAGCAAGGACAGGAAGGGGCGATCGCCAGGGGAGCTGAGGTTCTTGGTGGTTTCATAGCCCTTTCTGTGGGTGACGTGTGTGACGTGTGTGTGTGTGCGTGTGTGTGTCTTTTTGATGAAACAACATAGTTATAAGAGATATTCCTGAAGATGGTTCTTTATTGTTCCTGCAGGACCGGCCTGCTGAGGAGGGGACTGAGCATCCTCCGCTCCGTTTCAAGGTAGAGTGATGTGGTTCAAAGTCTGACACCCACACAGGCTGGGGACACACGTCAAGTCCCCCAGCTCTTCTCCTTTGGAGAGAAGGGAGAATGTCACCTGTCCCACAGCCTTGTGATGATGACAGACGGAGGGTGGACCTGCCGCACGGGAGCTGTGGGTGGTGACTGCACACTCTGGTGATGAGATACATGCCCTGACAGACCCGGGGAAGAGGACACGTTACCCCAGCCTTCTGTGAACACAGAGTTAAAAAAAAAGTGCTCTTATGTGGTTTCTCATTTATGGTCATAACTATAAAATATGAAATTGTGGAAGAGATCAAGCTCAAAATCACTGGAGAGTCCCAGGGGCCTGTCACGACACTGCACCTCTCCTCCCTTGGCAGGTGCAGGGGAAAAAGAAACAGCCAGTTCAGACCTGCACATTCCCTTCAACTTTTTTTTCTGAGGCATTGGGTCCTCTCTCACAGACGCCTAGAGGAAGATTTACAAAAGAACTGAGAAATTCTTTTTGTATCTTGGGAAAGTTATTTTTTTTTGGGGGGGTGGATCTTTATAGGCCAACATGAAATCCAAAAAAAAAAAAAAAAAGAAAAGAAACTTTTATGAAAGCTATCCATCAAATGTCAGGGATAATAATCAATTTTCTGTCACAATGAACTGATAAAAGCTTTCAGTAATAATGTCACGGGGGGAAAAATTTGTGTTGGAACTCGAAACGCGGAGCCCTGATATCAAACGAATTCATAAAAGCTCTATGCCTCTGTAGCCCTTGGAGGCATGACAAAATACAATTTCTCATCCACAGGATATGGAATAATTCCCCTTTTTTATTTTTACACTGAGAAAACCAAAAGGAAATCTGAATTTCAAAAAAAAAATATTACACAATCCCACTTTGGCAGGTGAACATTAGCGATCGTTTTGGCCGCTGATATCAGAAGCCGTTCTGGTGATTTCTCTCCCATCATGCAAATGAGTGCATAATGCCTGCTCTTCTTGGAATGTACAATCAAATCAGCATTCTAATGCTACAAGCCGGTGATGAGCTTGGGAATAAATATGCAGGAGCGCATAAAAAAAATCAAGGCAATCAAGAGGAGCCAGCGTCCTCGCTCGGACTATAAATCTTTGTCTATTTCAATCGTGGGGCTGGCCGAATCAGTGTAAAATTCCAGCGGGGATGTCATCAATTTCTGTTAACCTCTCTATTCCTCCCTGTGTTGCCTCTGGGGTGATGGATTGGTTTTGTCACTCCGGCTCCGTTCACAGTGTGTTAACATGGGAGGGTGCAGGCAGGTTACGAGGAAAGGTGACTGCTGTCCTAGCCTTGACCCTCTCTCGCGCTCCTCTGTGGGTCACGGGTACCTTTCTGTCCAGGGAGCATGGGGTCTCCTTCTGGTTCCAGGATGCTCGGCTCTGGGACCACAGGTTGGCCGGTCCAGTGTTAAGTCACAGTTCACTCTTTTGAAATAAAAATGGGTCTGTGGCTCAGCTTGCTGGGGAACAGGTGACCATGGATCAAGAAACCAGAAGAAAATACTTAGCAACCTGGTGTCTAAAAGGCTCAGAATCTCAGTCACCGACTGGCCCAGCACACAGTTAGGTTACTTTGTGCTTCACTTTCCAAACCATGACTGGCCTTTCCAGCTGCAATGCTAGAATTCTCTCCAACAATTCTAACGGAGTATTGGACATCCCCACTTCCCCATAACTGCACCCTACAAGACTTACCTGCACAACATGAATGAATCTGGGCAATGAGAATTAGATGGTAAGCAGAATAAGTTATCCTCCATGTACGTATAACATGTCAAAATACACTCCACTGGCGTGTGTATCTAAAAAGAGCAAATAAAAAAAAAATAGGGACAATGAGCCCAGCAGCAAACTCTATATTCTCCTGGGACATACAGGTACTTCTGGATATCTATCCTAAAAAATTAGATCAGGACCCTGGAGCAATCTCAGCACGCCCATGTTTAATGCAGCACTGTTTGCAAGGATCAAGGTGTAGAAACAACCCAAACGTCCATCGTCGGATGCATGGTAATAAGCATGGGGCACATACGCACAGTGGAATGTCATTCAACCTCAAAAGAAGAAGGAAACTCTGCCATACGAGATAAAATGAATGCGACTGAAGGATATTAGGCTACGCAAAAGAAATGGTCTCAGAAAAAAAAAAATCACCTGTTTCCATTTAAATGAAGCATCTGGAAACAGCCATGTTAGCGGCCAGAAGGTACATGGCGGGGTGCCATGGGCTAGAGAAGGGAGATGGGGCGTGGCTAATCAACAGGCGAAAGTTTCAGTTAAGCAAGTTGAAGAAATTCTACAGCCCTGTGGTATAGTATTGTGCTCAGAGTTACTAATACTCTATCTCACCCTCAAATCTTTGCAAGAGGGTAGATCTCAGGTTAAGGGTTCTTACCACTAAGAAATAAAATTTTTAAAATAAAAAAATTAGTAAAAACAAAATGAAACAAAAACAAAACAGATGGTATGATGCAGTTATTTTTGTGGTTGCTGCTATTGGTGACATATCATTTAGCAAAGTAGCAACTAGCCAACATGAATACAAATAATTAAATAAAAATTTAAAATTTGGCTCTTCAGTGTCAGTAGCCTTGGCTCAAGGCTATTACATTGGACAGCACAGACACTGAACATTTCCATCATTGTCAAACACTGCATGGATGGAGCTAGTTCAGGTTGCATTTATCCAAAGTGTTTCAACGTAGTTACCAAGGGAAGCCATGGACCTAGGCCAACAAGGTTGCCATTGTTGAAACATGGAGACAGCTACATAGCTGTTAACCAGAGATGGGGCATGCTCATAAGGTGAAGGTTGGCTTGGAGATTGACTCTAAAGGAATTTCGAGAAGTTTCCAACTTGTTTTGAGAGATGGCAAAGTTATTGAAATAAGTTTGATAGAAAGAGCCTGTGGGCATTTGCTTCCGACTGACCTAGATTCCAGATAACAAATCTGATACTTCCTTGCACCAAGACCTTGGAAACTTCCTTTAAAGACCCTGAGCCTCAGTTTTCTCAGGCACAACATTATCATTATCACAACACAATCATAACATAATTTTTTTTCCTGAGGTTTAAATGAAATGACGTTGTAGAGAAGTCTAGATGGTGCACTGAGCAGAACAGGAGCCTAAAACGCATTTGTTCACAGGAAGTTCCACAGACATAACAGGACCCTCAGGAAGGACACAGGATGTAGTAGAAGTGGGGTGTTTTAAATCACTGGAACCCCAAGTCAGCACATACTACTCACCCCTAGGTGGAGAGGTGATTTTCTTCTTTTGGGGGGAGCTAAGGCAGGGGCCCCACCTCTAGGCAGCCCAAGCCTTTCTGGACTTCCAGTCCTCTAGTAGCTTGAGTGGCTCCCCCTGTGGTGGCCACAGTCAGCAGGGCATGGCTGGCAGTCTCCACCCTCAGCGTCAGGAAGCCATGGTGCTGTCCTCAGAGGGTCCTTCTCCCAGCCTGGAATCCCCTACAGGCACACTGACTGGGTGTCAATAGCTCCCTCCCCTGGGGGGTTTGCTGCCAATTAGAACTGGGATTCTGAACGCAAAGGGCGTGATTTCAAGCAGCACCTCCTCCTTTATGAGGATCTTGATTCTACTCTCCCATCTCTGAACTCCGAGCCCCTGCAGCAGCTCTGTGGTCACTCCTCACTCCCCACCCCAAAGAATCAGGGTATTTCCCTGCTCCCTAAGCTATGGCTGAAGTGAGCCGTGAAGCCCAGCCACGGGCAATGCTTCACACCAGCAGAACATGTGACCCTCTGGACAGTCTGGTCAGGTGGTGTGTGTCTCCGTGCACAGGGCTTTGTGTGGTCACCTGGTAGGTCACAGCATCTCTGCAAGATGCAATTTTCTTAAAGAAAAATGGGTATTTTAACCTCAATGCCACATCCGATCCAAATGGGCCAGGACCAGGCCAATACCAGTCATTATGAAAAAGTTAATAGGTGGCCTTGACTGAGACCCCAGAAGCACTGTGTTGAACCAAGTTAACAACAACAACAAAATTGTCTGGTCAAATCTGCACTTTTACATGTATTCTCTCTCTCTCTCTCTCTCTCTCTCTCTCTCTCTCACACACACACACACACACACACACACACACCCACCCACACACATGCACACACAGAGATGCAGTTGAATGACTGTGGTTTAGAATAAGTTGACCCCCCTGTGGTGGTGATGGGAAGGTATGAAGGTTTGGGAAAGACCAGGTAATGGGATGAAGGCAAGCGAGAGCCATCCAACTGGGTGTCCACTAAATCCCAATTGTCAGGAGAACAGGGACCCAACTGCTGCATTGGCTACCTCAAAACAAACAAAAACAAAACAAACAAACAAACAAAAACTCCTGATAAAATACCTGTTGCGATCTAAGCTTTTATGACTAATGAACAGAAGAATAAAAGAAAGACAGATGAAGAAATGCACAGAACCAGGAAACCACCTCAGCTGGTCCAGCGGTTCTCAACAGAACTGTGATAGAACCTCTCAGGGGGATCCTGACCAGCTGCCGCGCCTGAGCCCATCACAGGCCAGTAGAATCAGAGTCTCTAGGGTGGGGCTGCAGCAGGACCCTCTGTGAGAGTTGCTGTGTGAGTCTAACATTTAGCCTGGACTGAGGACCACGGGGCTGGTATCACCCTTAAATATAGCATTTGGGAGGCAGGCAAATGAACTATACCCTCCGCCCCAAATATAGCATTTGGAAAATCTGCTGCCCCAAGAGCAGAAAGAACTTGCATAGGGATCCTGAGCAAATTGCTGGTGCTTCTGAAGAAGGGCTTTTGGTTTGAGCCTCTGTGTGTGTGTGTATGAGAGAGAGAGAGAGAGAGAGAGAGAGAGAGAGAGAGAAATGTGTACCATGATTTCTTGTGCTAGTGTGTGTTTACACATGCACATGAATCTTCTGTTCCCAGGAGCCTTTATTCTATTCTTCTTCTTCCTCTGTTCCTCTTCTCCTATCAACTTCTCTTACAGGGTTTTTAGAAGCCCCCAGTGGCCTCTTGCATCCACAGGCTGAGGAACATCTCTCTACTGTGAGCTCCCACGGTCATCTGGGTTTCCCAAAGTGTGTGGTTGCACCCCGTTGTGCTCATGGAGTCTCACATCTGTGTCTTCCACTATAGTGTGAGTTTATCCACGGCGGAGAGAATGCCCCTTTTAGCTGCCTTTCTCCAGGACTTGACACTATCAGTGAACAGATAGTGAATACAAGTAGGCCAGTTGCTTTACATATATAAATGTGATGTGCTTATACATAGGTGTGTGGGTGGATGTCATCTGTGTAGGTATCATCCGAGGATATAGTTTGAATGTGCATATGACTAAAAGTAAATGAGTTAATTTAATTTGACAGGACCTGTTGCACACTTATTATAACTAATCATTTTGTAAAAACAGGAGGTTAGTGATAACAGGGACACTTCCTCCCTGGGCTCATGGCTTATGGGTCAGGCTTTCCAACTGTAATGCTGAATTCTTTAGAGTGAGTTGACTGTGAGGACAGACCCACCAGTAGAGCTCTGAGGCAGCAAAAGCAAGCTAGAAACTCTTGGGGGAAGTAATGCATGAATCCAGTGCTTCTGGAACTTTCTATGGAGTTATAGTTCTCTTTCAGATCTCTATGGAAGTTTGGGATACTCTTCCCAGATATTGTGTTCAAGAACACCATTTGCAGGCCCATTGAGGATTATTAATGAAACACTTGGCTACCCACAGATATCAGGCACCAGGGCTGGCCCTGGTTGTTACCTCAGTGTGGTGCAAGACCACCCCAGTCTTGAGTTTTATGAGCTAGGTACTGAGCCCCAAGGGCTGGAAGGTCAAGAAGGAGATTTGTTTACTACAGAGGCACCAAGGTGTGTTCTCTTGGCTCATGATTTAAAGAAGACGACTCTGGGGTATTGTGGCCAGGTCAAAGTTCCGTCACCATGCTGGCCATTGAAAGGAATCATGCTCCCACACTTTTGATGGGTAGGATCACTTTCTGACTTAGGCTTGGCCTGCCAATAGCTTTCCATTGAGCCAAAACAAGAACCCATCACTCGGGGTATCACATTCCCCCGTCCTTGGATGCACCAACTCAAGGGATATTTCTGTTTAGGTGCTGTTTCCCTGACATTATTTAATGCAGTGGTTTTCGATCTTTGGGATCTCTACACTCTAAAATATCATTGAGAACTCAGAAAGCTTTGTTCATGTGGCTTATAGCTATCAATACTAACCATATAAAAATTAGAACAAATGTTGAGAATACTTCTTAAGTAATTCCTTTGAAAACAATAATGACAAATCCATTTCTGAAAATGAAAGATGTTTGTAATGAAAAAAAAAAGTCCGTTTCCCTTAAAAACATCACTGAGGAAGGATATTCTCATTTCTGTGAATCTCCTAAATGTCTAACCTAGTACAGGACAGCTAAGTTCTCATGTCTTTTTCTTCATTTTTACATGTTGTGATAGGGTGTTTTGATGGAGCTATGTGAAGAAAAATCCAACCTCACATAGCACATTATCAGAAATGGGAGGAGTGTTCTAATTTATTTTTCATATATTTTGGGATATTCTTTTTGATACTACATAAAAACTCAGAAAGTGGCAGTTTCTTAAAGGTTAGTTGTAATATACATCTTGAAACCATCTGTCTTTAACTTTAATGTAATCAGTAATGAACTCATGTGATTTTGTGACAATATATATTTGTCACTGAGAAAACATTGGCTCACTGAGTTATTCAGATCTTCCAAATACTGACCTATTTCTCTAGGCCTTACAAAAAAAATTAGTTTCATTAATATTACTATGTGTCCCACTGCAAAAATCTTTAAGTATCAGGAAGTGATCTTGTTCATAGAGTAGATACAATTGTCCAAAGTCCTCTTTTTAATTTGAAGAGCTTAATTTTATTATTGACTACAAATATATTTAGTTGTTTTGTTCACTTGTTCACTCAAAAGAAGGGTCTGTTATCCCCAAGATCTGAATAATCATAATTTTTTGTTAAGCTGTCTCTTCAAGAGAAAATGATATTCCCCCTGGAAGTTGCTAGTTTATCTCATAACTCAAAAGTCTCACGTGTGCCTTCCTTGGAGACGTTAATCAAACTTCAGGATGTAGCCAAAGGGAATTCCATTTTGTCAGGAAGAATATGATAAACAATTTGTGCTTGGTAGACTAATGGTCATCAGAGATGTCCACAGCCTCTTCCCTAGAACCCATGAATGTCACTTACGTGGAAAACGGAAGTTTACAGTTATGATAAAAGTAAGAGTCTTAGGTAGGAGATTTTTTTTGGAGGGGGGGTGTTATGTGGGAGTCAGTCTAATTATACTGGTTCTTTTAAACGGAAAATTTTTGTGATTATATTCAGACAAGAGGGAGAGATTTGAATATGGAGGAAAGGCACACAGATCTGAAATGGTGCTGGCTTTGAAGAAGGAAGGAGGCCAGGAGCCAAGGAGTGAGGGCAGCCTCTAAAGCTGGAAAGGGCCAGCACATGGATCCTCGTCCATTGCCTCTGGGATGCACCTCTGATGACATCTTTAATAAAAACACAAGGTGAGACCTAGTGAGATCTCTGCCCTGTAATAGGAACTGCAAGATGAGTAAACATGTTTTAAGCCACTGGAGTAATTTTCAAGATGGTGGAAATTACTATGGACATACTAACATGGATGTACACCTGGTCAAAATACAGCAATGTTTTGGGTTTTGTTTCATCAAGAACATCCTTAAATAAATTTGGCAATGAAGACAGCGACTGCCAGTAGGGCTTGTTGACACCACCTGGGCTGGTGCTCAGACTCAAGTAGCTCCACTCACCAAGGTTCTGCATTCTCCAGGCAAGGGTCAACCCAGAGCAAAGGCAGGTGACATATCGTAGGATTATTCACAGGGTTTTGAATTCACATACCCCCTGAAAGTGTCTCGAGAACCTCCAGGGACTGTGGACCACACTTCAGAATCACTGATCTTCACTGAGCAAACATTTTTAAAAGGCTCTGAGAAATTTTTATCTGCTTCCTGCCTTGTCCCTTCTGCCTCGCCACCACGTTCAATTTTTGAAACAATTCCATGAATTAAACTAACTCCACAGTTATGGCAACCGACTGGCAAGGGGAGGCGGGAACTCTGGGATCTTAGATTTTTACTTTTAGACATCTCCTTCCATAATATGTAGATAAATGCAGTTTTGTTCCTTGGAAATTTTCAATGCAACTTTGCATTTTTAACACATCAATAACTTTCTGTACATAAGCATTTTCAGTGATTTAATTTTGGTTTCTGTGTATCTAATATATCCTAGTATTTATCGATTTAAGTAAAATGAAGATGTAAATGCATTCGTCCTTCCATTTCAATACACGTTTCCATCCATTTCAATCAAATTATTCACTTGCTTCCCTCCCAGAGAATAAAAACAATGAAATCAATGAAGTTTTCCCGTGGGGGCAAACTTCTTTGGGAAGCAGATTCAAATCATCTAAACTGGAATATGTGAAGCTAAAAATGTACAGTGTGGGCTTCCCGAACCTGAAGGGTATGCACTTAAAACATTTTTAAGTATTCTCAGGAAGAGACATGCTCTTTTTGATTGATTGATTGATGTTAAAAAAAAAATTGCCAGTGAACTCATTCAGCAATAGCTGAAAGTTAACAGCAATAAAAATGGTTGGACTTTCTCTGGGAAGAGATCCAAGAGGGCGCAGGACTTCCTACCCATGCAACTCTATAATGTTGAACTAGAAGAACAAATAGTCCCTTTATTTTTTATTTCCAAAGCAAGGACTGAATGATTTCATTGAAAAAAAATAAAAGAATTTAGTTTGATATTGCACAGATATTTATTACCTTGGTCCACATGCCAAATCTCTCTAATTGACGTTTCTCAATATGCATATAACTTTTATTAATAACTTGATGTCTTGCAAAGTGGGTGTCTCATGAATACTGCAAGCTGCTCATTTCCTAAGAGCTTGCAGGAAGGTGTGGGTATAGCCACATCAAGACAGAGGCAGAGTTTCTACCATGAAGCGTGTGCCAGTGGAGAAGCCCAAGGAGTGGACGGACACAAGGAAAAAGAGCTTGTTAGAGTAGAAGCTGGGCACCAGGTGGGCAGGAAAGAGGCTGGCAGTTAGATGGCAGAAAATAGGAGATTTTGGCAAATATACATGTTTGGTGGGATTTTTTTAAAGTTTGTTATTGGATATGAAAGCATCAGAAAAATATGTACAAAAATGTACAGTTCTCATTAATGCCATTGGTGCAAATGGATTCATTCTGAAGAATAAGATTTTTGATTTCTGCTTCAAAATTGGCATGTGTAGACAAGAAGAGCTGAGATCTGGGTGGCATGTTGCGTACAGGCTACAGACAATCTATATGAAACAGAGTGAGGTGTGTGTTTGCTGTCTTGCAATCAATAAAGCTTATTTGAACACAAGGAGGTAACTTCAATACTTGAATAGAGGTGAGCGTTGGGATCAGAAGTAAGTGGGTTCTGTGCCTACCTGTGAGTAGACAAACATAGCTCAGGCTCGGCAAGTCAGAGTTTCATAATGGCTCTATCTCCAACTCCATCAGCAAGGGGAAATGAAAATTTTGTTCTTTTGGTGTATGAATACAATTTGGTATATGAATAAAATTGTTTCATGCTTATTGTCCACCAGCTCCATCCAGATCCATTGCAACCTTCTCTCTCAGAGCAATCTTGTTTTACGTATGAGGAAAACAAATAAATAAATAAAAATCCAAGAGTATGGGATTTGCTCAAGATCCTTGGCCAGTGATTGCTTCTAATAGATATTTCTCCTATAATTTCTGATCTGTGGCAACCTCACTAAATCCTCCTGACCTGGAGAACTGAGGTGCGGAACAGGTGGGAACAGGGATGCTGGGGTTTACTGGCCTGCCTGGTGTGGAAGTTCCCCTCCGTCTATACCACCATTCTCTGTCCAGACAGACAGCACGGTGTGTCAGGAGTGGCACATGACAGAGCTCATGATTCAGCATCTGGATGCGGGGCTCAGGTACTGGTTTTCATAGACCTGACTCTGCCTTCTGCTGGTCACAAACACCCCTTTCTCTTCTTTCCAAGTAATGGGTGCACAACATTCCCCAACCTCCCTCATAATTATGGGTGACAACATGACTGCATTTTGGTCAACTCAATGTGAGCTGGAGTACAGAGTGTCACCTTCACTTCTAGGACTGTCCCTCAAAAGCCTCCTGTGTGAGAATCACCCCAGAGCAATCCTGGAAGCCCCACCCGGATCTGCGGATTCCTGAGTGACTGCGGGGCACGGATTCCTTCCTGCGTTGGCCCTGCTGCTGGCGGCACTTTATGTGAGGGGGAAGGGATTTATCTTATTTTAAGTGATAGAGAATTTGTGATCTAATCCGTTGTAATAACCAGTCCTATCTTAGTAAATTTAGAATATGTGAATATTTTCTGCTACTGCTCTTCGTAGGGATGGCTACTAGTTACGGTGGAGAAGACGATTCCTATTTACAAATGAAGAAAAACCGAGTCTCACGCCGGAAAAGGGAATCTCAGGGCCACATAGGAGTTAGATGGAAGGACCTGGATTAGGAGCCGAGTCTTCAGTCCAACTGAATTCCATGCCCTGTTGCACAGATACTCTCCTACCCCCTTGGCTTGACCCACTCTGCTCCTTCCTCCATGTCCACACAGAGCCAAAGAGCTCTTTGATTCCATCTGGGAATATTTCTTGATTCAGTGGAAAGCAAGTGCTGAGTTAGTCTTGACAACTTACAGTGCTCCTCATGTCTGCTCCCCGGTGCCGTCAGGGGGTCTAGGGAGCCGTTATGGTGCCTGCTGGCAGGATGTCTCTAAGGGTGGTGCCCACCACCCAGACCAGTGGGAAACGATAGGGTAGTGTCCCTACGGCTCTGGCATGCTGAACACGCCGCTCTGTGGTCTACACTGAGTCTCTTTCCAGTGAGTGTTCCTGGCCACCTAGCTGGCTAGCTTAAGAATAAAGAAAGGTCTATCCCATGGCAGATCGAGGATGGAAACATGCAAGGGTGGGAAGGACAGTCCTGCTCTTGGTGTGGACACTTTCCCCCCATTCTTCAGGTCCAGTTTACACCACTGGGTCCAGGGTTTCCTTAGTGCAATCCCCCTCCTAAACCTTCAGCTCCTAGCATCTGAGAACACATCACTGAGGCCTCAGTTCTCCAAGGCATTCTTGAGGAAGGAGGTGGGCTGGGAGAAATGGGTAAAGGGAGATTCTTCAGAAGCAACATGAGGAAACCAGGGGGTTGGGTTGCTTCTGAGATGGCAGTCTCTCAGTTTAGCTGTACTGTAGGAAATAGGTATCTCTGTACAGGATGCCGGGGGTGGCTGTTGCAGGGCTCAGGCACATAGACACTGGGTGAACAAACAGCTGTCCAGAATGACTCCTGCCCTCCTCCAGCAGCCCTGGGGCTCTCCTGGATCACCCAACTGAAGGACAACCCCAGGGCAATCCAGATCTTTGCTCTTACCCAGAGGCCAGAGGCTGATCCAGCTGGTCAGGCCCCACTGAGGACACTATTTCTGCTCCCTGCAAGGTGAGTGACGTGGTGATTCACATTCTTTTGTATGTATATATTCTGAAATAGCTTAGGTAGTGCACGGAGTGCAAAGTGAGTGTTCATATCTTTGGAAGGAGGACATGGATGATTAGTCTCAATTTTAAATGAGCATGACAACCACGTTTACTGAACAGAGTGCTGTGTGCGTGGCACACAGGGAGGTGAGGTGTGCACAGGCACAATGGGGCGTGTGCTGTTCATGATGGACAGACATCTTTGGGTGTAGTCAGCCTGATCGCACGAACCATCCTCTGACCCTCTTCTTCCATCAGGGCATGAAGACTTTGCTTGGCTGTGGTGAATTCCTCCTGGTAGAAGTCCTTCCATCTGTAGCTACACACCTGCCACCCACTCAGAGATGCTTTTGAGATTCTGGGCTGGCCCAGCTCCTGCCAGCACACAGTGTGACCTTGGGGGCTCTGAATGGACTGGGTAGCATGAGACTTGACCTCCACCCTCATTAAGTGGCCTCTCCATGAGGTCTGCTGGTGTGTACACAGCAACAATTAGCCAACACGAAGGGGTAGGTGTGGATGGGATATTCTTGGGATCTGATGCCTCAGGGTGTGCTTATGAAAGAAGGACATACATGTTCAGGCTGGACTTCTAGGAAGACCAGTATAAAAGACTAAGTGTTTAGTTAACTGTTCAAAATACACTGAAATTTTCCAAACCAGTTTGTGCATTGAATTTGTGCATTGAATTCCTTTGGTCTCGTGGTTGGTGACCAACAAAGCAGCCAAGTGTATACCCACCCTGCAAGAGGCATGGGGTTCTTGTCTTTGTCTTCAACCCCCGCATTTCCCACCACGAAGGCCCTTGGTTTCCTCTTTTTTGTTAGTAGAATTCACTTTCTCTGCCTTTGATCCTTGCTACCTTGTAACAAAGGAAATGTCCTTTGCTAATCCTTGACAGTCTCCATTTCCAGCTGAATTTGGGTAATAGTATTTCTAGCCAGAAGCTCCAGGACCCCTGTCCTCATGTCAACCCACGTGGGTCACAGAGAGAGAGAACAGGAAAGACCATGTAGGCCAGCTGTGATACCTATTCTTGTGTCTGTCTCTCCTGAAGCCATGTCTCTACCTCTAGAACAATCCCCACATGCTGTGTGCCCAGAGTGTGGAGGGAAAGAATGGAAAATAGTGTGGAGGTGGCGTCAGCTTACCAGGAACTGAAACAAAGGACAAGTTCATGAGCAGTTGCTCAGTACAGTTCTTAGGTTGACAACTTGGTAACAGCGTGAAAACAAATTAAGCCAAAGAAATACCTCCCCTGAGATGCTTCATTACCTTCCCCGTCTAGGTGCGGGCGCCATTAAGGCAAATTATTGCCTCTCAAATATTTTTAGCTCGATGCCCATTTCCGTCTGCATTTGCCTTAGAGGTACATGTTTTCAACTAAGTAATGGGACATACAAATTAAATGCAATTTCAAATTTAAACCTGTACAAGTGTCACTTACCAAGTCCCCCCTGATAGTCCCAGGGGGATGCCCACAGCACTGTTGGAAAGTATATTACTGTACTTGGTTCCTATTATTTAGTCCAAGAGATTCTTATTAAAATAAAAGCCAGCAATAAGGTTAATATTTTATATTCTGTGCAACCACAGTGCATCCTTGGGTCCTAACAAATAGATTTATTTTTTTATATCTTTCTTCTCGTCTGTTATTTTTTTATTTCACAATGAGCATATTGGCATATACATATAAACATCCACCTAGGACATTTCAAAATTAAAAGGTAGCTTGTGTTATAATTTTTTTAAAAAACTGAAAACGATTACATAAAAAGGTTGATATACCCGAGTTCAGAATTCTGGCTGGATGTTAAGCCCTAAAAGGTGGCACTCAGCCTTCAACTCAGCCGAGGCAGCAGCCAGGGAGACCAGGCGGACTTTTGTGGGGGATGCTGGTCAGGTGACACTGTCACTGTGACTCTATTTCTTGTCTTGCTTCTCCGCCAGTCCTGGCCACCCTGGAGTCTGGCTCACTCTCTGCTGTGGTTATTCCAGACCCCAGTGTCCCCACCCACGTCACTTAGCACAGCTGAAGCAGAGCTGACTTACTGGACCTCCCACACCGAGTGGCCGGGCTGTGCCGCCTCGGTCTCTGTTTTCCTGACAACAGTGTCACAGCCAGCACAGAGAGGGTGCTTCCAACCGAGGCCCTGCTGAGACCCTCTTGGACTCAGAGCTTTCTTGCCCACCTGGACCCTGGCTTTTCCATCATCGGATTCTTCACTTCTGTTCATGTACCGGCGAGTCCCGGGGCCCTGAGTGTGGCCCTGGTGTCATCTGTGCCTTCTGCTACCTAACTGCTAAGAAAACCTCATTTAAATTATTTTAAAAACAAACATGGCAAGAAGATGTTGAGCCTTTAAAAAGTGCGGATGTGACCGCCCACAGCTCGAGGTGCGGCTTCAGGTCCCTCGCTTCGCTCTCCAGACTGTGGATTCACTGGGGGATGAAGGACCTGGATGAGACACCAGCTCTGTGTCCTCCACGTCCTCGCGGCTTCCTTTCTAGTTCACAAGAGTCGGCTATGAACACTGTGAATGCAAATGGAATTCCATAATGATCTTTATGCAGTTCCTGTCAGACATCGACCGTTACACAACGTAATACTCCTGTCCAGTGTTTGGGTGAAGATCCTCAAGATCATAAAATGATTTCCCTGAAGAGGAATGTTTTCCGATTGGAGAGACCATGCCATGCTATAAGGCCAAGCATGTGCTCGCGGAACCAGGAGGCTCAGAGTACATCTACAGGAAAACCGGGAAGCCACTGGACTCTGAGATTACCAGGCCATGTAGCAAGAGCCCAAGGATTTAACAGGAAAAATGGCAAGGAATTCCACTCCTTCAAAGATGGTCATTGCAACTCTGCTCTGTGCTGTGTCATCAAGCTCAGCCCAGAACATTGAAGACACAAAGAATACAAAGAATAAAAAACGTGGAAGCTCAAGGCTGCCACCAGTAACTGGTGTGTGTGTGTGTGTGTGTGTGTGTGTGTGTAGGGAGTTCTAGAAACTTGGTATTTTTATGCACGCACCTTTCTGTAAGTTTAAAAGATGGTGGACCCACAATTAAGCCGTTGCTTTGCTCATCGTAGGTTACTAACATAAGCACTTTCCATGTTGTAGCACAGTGCTGATAGTTATCATTCTACTCTGCCAGAATTTAATTATTCTTTGCTCTGTGATTGATTGTTAAGGTTTTCCATATTCCCTTTGTTTTATTACAAATAACACTTCAATGAAAATCTCTGTGAACAGAAATTCTATTTGTTTTTAGATTATTTCCTTTGAGTAAATCTTCCCAAATACTAAACTGTTGGAGTTGTATTTTCTCTCTAACTACTTATCGGTTTTAGGCAATATTGATGAACTCTTCTCCATAGAAGACAAAATTGGTTATCTCAGGCAACGCTGCTTCTTCTTATTCCTTCATAAACCATGTTAGGTACACTGTGCTTGGTTAAGGTTCCGGTAACATCCCTGCTGACCTGCATCATGGTTCCTTTAGATGATGGGCGGGGACTTTATCTAAGTGGATGCAGTTTCTCCTTTCCCAAGTGTAATTTTTGGATTCCTTTCTCTCACTGGATTTCATCACTGAGTTTTTCCAAAGTTCTGATCTTATGATTGAGAAACATCCCGAAGTTTCTCATGTCTGAAAACATCTTGTATTTTATGCTGTGCATATGGCTAATAGTAGCTAGTAGAATTCTAGCTAATAAATTTCCATCATAGGATACAACAAAGGAAATTGTGTATGGCATCATGATTCAGATCCCAGACCCTGTAGACAAGGATATTTGCCCTTGATCTGGGCCGTGCCGTTTAACTAACTGTGTGACCTTGGGGACATATTCTAACCTGCACAGGCCTCAGAGTCCTCCACTGAAATATGGGGCTGGTAAAGAAAGCTGCTTTGTTAGGGGGCCATGAAGTTCAGGTGACATGATGTGAATGGGGGCCTCTGGTTCTGGGTACCCAGCAAACAATTAATAGTAATGGCTGGGACTCAGCATTTCTAAATGCACTTTATTTAACAATTTCCCCGGGATGAGTAGTTTAGTGTTGTTGTTATTATTACTGTTGTCCAATTTCAAGGGCACCTTTTGTGCACGTCTCCGTCTCTTTCTCCTCCCACTCAGCAGAACATTCCTCAGAGGCCAGAGCTTTCTCCTCCTCTCCTTGTGGACCCCAAGGTTTGCAGAGGGCATCAATACACGTTTGACACTGAGGGAAGAAATGAACCAATGAAAATCAAATTTTAACCCCTATTGAGGTGTTCTTCTTCATTGGATGTGTGCCTTTTTGGTTCTGAGGGAGGCTACAAATTGCAATTTTGCTCAATTCTACCTTCAGTTTTGAGCTGCTAAACCTTTGCCTACAATCAACCACATCCCACAGATCAGGTCTCATCCCCCAGTGAGTGCAGATGGTGTCCAATTAGCATACTTAAAAATGCATTTCTAAGGGGGCATAGATCTTATGTATACAGATATATATATATATATATATATATATATATATATATATATATATATATATATATATATATATATCAAGATTCTGCTTATCATCTTAGGATGTCTGTGACCCCCTCCACGGCCAACCTCTTGCCTTTAAGTGCTGTCCTTGAAACTAAGGCCCAATCCAGGACCTTGATAAACACAAATGCCTCGCTGATCTAAACAAAAGCCAGTCTGAGCGTGTCAGGTTGGCATCCAGGAGGGGAGGACCCCATGCATGGAGAGCCAGGTCACATGCTTCTTTCTCCTTCATTTTAGGTGGCTGGGGGAGCTAAAAAATGTGTGTGGGTGAGGGAGAAGTTATTTCTTGATGATTTTCTCTCTCTGTGTCTCTTTTTTTTTTAACCCAAGGACCAGGGTCAGGAAGAATCCACCCCAAGGGTAGTTGGAGGGAAGAAAAATAACAAGGCTCGGTGGCGTCTGGGGACCAGAGCACTGTTCGCATCCGCTGTAATCATCAGTGCATGGCTGGGCTGTCTGGGTAATTTACATAACACCCTCCTGACACCTTCACTTCAGTTATCCATCACCACCGCGTGGCGTTTCCTTCCCTGGCGCTCTGGCTCACTCTCTCCCTCCGTCCATCTTCCCCTCTCTCCAATCCCTCATTTTTGACTTCTTCCTCCCACTGGCCCTCTTGTTTTTCTGCTTTTTTTTCTTCCTTTCTTCATTTACACTTATGTGTAGACAGCCAAGAAAAAAAGAAAAAGAGGTGGATTTCAACATCCTTTCTCTCCTTCTTGCTCAACTCACATGCATTCAGTAAGTGACGGAGAACCAAGTCAACGGAGTTGGCGGAAGAAGAGAGCTCCCTCTTATGTAATATACAGGATCACTGGGGACGGGGAGCAGTGTTGCTTCAATATATGTACACATGACCACACTGGGGAACGAGGGCGCCAGTGCATACACTGTAGCAAACATAAATCAGTGTATACTTTGCATTGAACATAAATTTGCAAATATTGAAAAATTGGACACTGAGTAGTCAATTCATCTTTTAGTATAACCCAGAGAGCCCATGAATACATAAATCCAAGGATCTCACATACCTAGGAACATAACCAAGGCATGGTGCTGATAGTTTTCTGAGACTGTTTCAATTGATTGTGTTTTAATTGTTACGCCCAAGCAAATAGGCAAATAATCAATGGGATCAATAGTTTTTTCCCTTCATGGAACATTGTAGGGAAAAACGAATGGCTTGGAAAATTATGTAAAAATACCTAGAAAACCTGTTGCGCAGAGTACATACTTTGTGGTCTTATTAATATAAGTGAACATCATTATGAAATGTTTGACAAAGACCGAGGAAAGCCAAGGTCACTGGGGATAGAATGTTAGGAAATGGCAATTTATGTGCATCTGAGTTTTAAAGATAGAAATTATTGAATTGAATTGGCTCTAATGCTTTTTCATAAACTTAATTCTTTCTTTCTTAATGCCTGTTGTACCCCACAGTTCTCCCTCAATTTTTTCTCTTTTGTTTTATTCTAAAATAGATAGCCTAGATAAATGGACCCATGGATAAATAGCACATGCTTCCAACAATTGCTTCTTGAAAGGCAGGGCCACTGTTTTAGCTCTGCTTGTAGAGCATTTTAAAAAGAAATACTGATGCTTAGACGCCCACAAACTGAATTGGAGTTTTCAAATGAAGAGTGGCTATGAGGTTCCTACATAGTTAAATGTTTACCATTTAGTGTTTTGCCCATGCACTTCTGGAACATTCTAGCATCATTCCTGTTGATAATGTGATGCCATTAAGGGAATATCCAGTAGCTTTTTTTTTTTGTAATGTGAAAAACATTCATCATTCACAGTGACATATTCTCATCATGGCTACTTTTGGGTCCTGAATTCCAGGCCCGTGCTATGAATTTCATTTCCATTATCACCCATATCCTGATCACAATGTCACATGGTGGGGACTGTGATTCTCTCCATTACATAGATAAATAAGGGAAGACCCTCAGACAGCAGTGAGTTGCCCAAGACCACTCGCCAGGAAGATGCAGAGCGAGGACGGAAAGCAGGGTACAGCTTTACGAGGCCCACCGTGGGCAGCGATGAATGACAGCAGTGTACTGTTGACTTGTGATTGACACACTGTTGATATCAAAATAAAAGTGGGAAATCTAGAGGAGTAAAATTACTTATGGCAAGTGGGTGAACTAGCCTGGGACTTCTAGACGTCAAGGGGGGTTGGGTTGCTTGCCTTCATGTGTCCTCAGTGTCTTAGTTGGGGATGGATGACTTCGCTGGAACTCAGCAGATGCCTGTGGAAGTGACTACCTTTTCAATGCCAAGGATTCTGTCTGTGCTTGGAGAGGTGAGGTGTGTACCTCCTGTGGTGATAATCAGGAGGTACCTGGCTCACCAGCTCTGTTGACGGAGAGACTCACTACTTGTGTATCTCTGTGCACAAATTGTCCTCATTTTTTCTCCAGTTGCTATTTTCTATAATGATGGGAAAGAACTCAACAGGTTCTGAATCACGCTCAGAGGAAGCATTCACAAATGTTTGGCCACTTGGCCACTTGTCTTAGCAGGAGTCACATCAGGGATTATGGGAAAAATTGAAGTTATCTTGAGATTGAATGCTAATGCCTCTTTCTCCATCACTAGCAGAGCACCCTGCAAACAGGGACACTGTGTTTGTCTGAGCAGCATTTCCCTACTGAGGGGGGTCCCTATGAATGTCTGGAACCTTACTGGCCGAAGAAGCAAGGAGGCCACCCGCTTTCAGTCCAGAGCTTGGCATCTGGGAGGAGCAGACCACTGCCTTTGCAGTCAGAGGACACAGGAGGAGACCTCGCCAGCAGAATTCCCACTGGACAGGTCTGTTCCAAGCTGCTGAATGGATGGATCCCTGAAGAAAGATGCTGTCTCTACCCCTTATCCCTTACCTTCTCAGAGGGTAGAGTTTCACATTTCTGCTTGGGAACCCAGATGTCAGACTTCTCAAACAGAACCCAGAGTTCATAATACACAGAGTGGAAGGTAAGAGTCAGAAAAGACTAGAAGAAGCACCACTTGGCTTGAAGGGACTCTTCTCTGGAAGTTCCATACCAACCCAATCAGATTCCACTAGTGCTCCACGAATGCTCTCCTCCTTCCCCTAGACCCTTCCCAATGCTCTGATGCCAATACACATTATTCCAATTGCTCAGAGCATTCTGTCTATCTATCTATCTGTCTATCTATCTATCTATCTATCTATCTATCTATCTATATTTCTACCTACCTACCTATCTATCCATCCATCTATCTTCTGAACTTGATTTTGTATTCATGAATTTGTTTACTTTCATTTATTCACTCAACAAATGTTTGGATACAAGATTTGGGACTGTTTGCTGTTAGAGTTTGCTCATTGCCTTGGTTCTGCATGGAATGCAAAGTCTTTGAGCTCAGGGATCATGTCTCTGACCGCACCCTCCCACTAGGTACCGCACCCAGGTCCATGATCACACTGCTAAATGAACACAGGATGGGTGCAGGAATGATCCAGGCCCTGCGGCAGACACTGGGAGGGCGAAAGTCATTCAGAAATGGCTTCTTCCTGGCCTTGAGTGGCTCAGGCTTTGTGGAATATCACTTCTACCTGAAGAAGAGCACCCATGAGCCTGCAGCCACACGCCCAGTGTCAGCAGAGACACACCCTCCATATATAACTGGTGACTTGGTGGAGCGTCCTCCACCAAGTCATGAACCATGAGCCTGTAGAAGTAGTTGTCGTGTCAGAATGAACTCGACATTCTTTGGGATGCTGGCCCAGCAGATGCTCTGTCGGTACTGCTGAATCTGACACTCGAAAGGAGCCTCCCCAGCCCACTCCATGTGGGGAACCCCAGGGCTCAACGTGGCAATGAGGACCAAAGGTAGCAGCAAGAGAACAGGAAGAGTAGAGCTGCCCTTCACCGAGTCCTCAGCACCTCCAGGAGCAAGCTAAACACTGGATCGACGTATCACTTAATCCGCACAGTGACGCAGGGAGCTGATGCTCATGTCTGTGTTCTGTAGGTCCGGACACTTGCCGGGGTACGTTGTGATTGCAGTAGTACCTGCTGTGCCGTGGAAGGCCCACTATCCCATCCAAACCAGTCTCTCTCCAGAGTGTGTGCCTTCCACCCATGAAGACACTGGTCTTCTGCACAAACCTGGGCATGGGGACACATGACTCTACCTGGAGATGAGCCGCTGCTGTCCGGATCCCTTTTCCTATTTGGGCAAATCCAGTCTCAGCACTGGTAAGAGTTTCAAAATTTCTGTTTTTTTATAAACCAAGATAATAGTGATAATAATTTGTTCTGGGGACTGAACCCAGGGGCATTTTTACCACTAAACTACTCCACCGGTCCTTTTAAATTTTTTATTTGGATACAAGGTCTTGCTAACGACTAAGTTTCTTGCTAAATTGTTCACATTGACCTTGAACTGGTGATCCTTCTGCCCTAGGCTCCCTGGTGGCTGGGGTATAGGTGTGGTTTCTAAGCTTCTCCTACATCTTCATCTGAGCACGTTATCCACATAACACTTAAAAAAATACTTCTATTTTTAATTTATACACATATTTGTACATATTTGTGCAGCATGATAACTGGATACATGTACACACAGTGATTCTTTAATGCCTTTATATTCACAATTGTCTGGCATTTGCCATGAAACTCCTAGCTCCTTCCAAGAATGCTCATGACCTAATTGTGCACTGAATATGTTATTTTTCCTCTTAATAAATCTACAAAGCTGGGCAGAATCCTCCTGGAATTTTCATGCAGAGAGGAATTCTCATCAAACAAGTAATATCGAGCTTCTATTGGATACAGCTGCACTAGATTCTACCAGTCCTTGATTAAACTGCATCCACAGAAATATTCCCCTACCCCATACACACCAAAAAATAAAAAAAAAAAGACAGGAAGAAGGAGAGAAGTCCAAAAAGCAATTGTACCTGTGTAGCGGGTCCCCTCTTTCCACAGGCTGGGCTTGGGTGCTGTTTTCACACCCCCCACCTGCAAATCCAGAGAATCCGGAGCCCTCCAGACTTCCTCCAGGGCTGTTTTTGCCGTTGTTATAGCTAACGTTATGGAAGTTACTTTATTAAGATTGGAGTTTATGCTATGAATCGAATTAAGTCGCAAATACATATACAGTTCATTCTGTCTTTTAGCAAGGTCCCACTCTCACTTTCTCTCTTGATAAAGAAAACCATTAGCTCCTGTCAGAACCGCAAGGAGGGAGATCATTTTTATTGAAATAAGAAGGAAATGATAATGTCAGGCACTGAGTCCGAGAGATAAAATATTACATCTAATAAACATGCTACATATGGGATTCGACAAGGGGTCCTTGAATTACGGAACAACAGAAGCTTCAGAAAAACAATAACATTAATATTGAAAAATAATGACTACCACTTCCATCATGGAAAAAAAAACCCGCATTTTAATAAACAGGAGGGAAATTCAGGAAACTCCAAGAAAACAGCTAATGACATCCCTTGCCTTAGAAGGATTATCAAGGTGAACCAGCAGAATGGTGGGCACCAGGCCTGGGAGAGTCCAGAATTCAGAAAAACAAGGAGACTTGACTGAAAAGCAAAAGATATTTTAAAAAACTGTAGAAAAGTAAATTCGAGGATAGAGACAGGGCCATGATTTGTGAGGGGTGGGGGTGTGTCATGAAATGGCTGTGGGGGGACAGTGGCATACGACTCTATTTGCCATCAGTGGTCAAATCAGCACCTCTCTACTGCAGACTGTCTTGTCCCTTACTCCCCACCTCAGGGACACAGGGCAATGTCTATTGGCACATCTTGGGATGTGCCTTTAGTGGGCAATGGTCACACATCCCCTTACAACATCAAAGAGCCACCTGGCCTCAAATGTCAAGAATTCCATGCTTGAGAATCCAGGGTTTAAACCTGTTTTTCTCATTTTCCTGTCAAAAGAGTCCACTTGCTTGTAACCGACTCCACACTCCTTCTCTTGGGGTCCACACTGGGCTCTCGAGTCATGATTTGTGTTTTGACAGGCTCTGGCTCATCAGCATCTTCTAAATAGAATTTGAGCGTTATTATTGAGGACATCAAAACTACATCCATCAATGAGCAGTCACAATAGAGGTTGCTTGTCAAGGAGCCACTATCTCTGATTTAGCAGACACACCCGGGAGGAAGTCATCTCAGATATGGAGAGAGGAACTGGGAGAAAGGTGTACAAGCTGCTAATTCAGGATGCCGCTCAATTCTGTCTTAGCCCACCGAGGCTTGGTCCTTTTGGGCAAGTACGGGGCTTTTACAACCTCAGTACTAATAACACACGAGGCTTGGTAACTTCTTCCTGGGGGTGGTGATAGGGCTGTCCAAGTGTTTCAGGATTTCAGCATCATCGCTGACCACTACTCCCTAGATGCCAGGGCTCCTCCCTCCCACCACCCTCATCATGACAACCCAAAAGTTCTCTAGCCATTGCCAACCTTCTCCTGGAGAGTGAAATTGCCCCTGTGGAGAACTGTTAGCTTGGACAGTGCATACTTTGGAGTTTCAGCCCTGAAACACTCTGAGGACTGCAGAGATGGAAAACAAATGGGTCGGAATAAGAAAAGACCAATCCCTCACCATCTTGCCTTCCCCCACCCTTAGAAATGCACCTGCTTTATCTGCACTATGTGTGACTTTGAGTCTTCCTGCCAGTAATTACTAGTGTCCAAGAGAGTATACCAAGGGAATCCCATAGGTATCACACTCAGGCCTCTGCCCCACTTGGCCTGAGTGACAATCACCTGTCTCCCTTCTGGGCTTTGATTCCTATAGGAGACTCCCCGTCCCATGTGAATACGGTAATCATGGCAGAGATGCACCAGTTCCTGAACATGGGCCACCTGGCTCTCAACTCCTTCTTAGTTTTGGACAGGACTGTGCTGGGAGTGGACTTTGACTCTGATGTTGAGGAATAAGAAGTGAACTTGGACTGTACAGCCAATGAGGCAAAGTGCAGGAAGTTTTAGCCATTTTACTCCAGTCTCCTGATGCCCATGATTCCTATCCACATATTTGCCTCTTTCTCTCTAATTAAAAAAGAAAAAAAAATAGATAAAATTCCAATCACTGTTGAAATTAAGTGGTGAATGATGAGTGAGAATTTTCATACTTTCCTCTCTATTTGTGTGTATGTTTCATAGTTATCATAATAATTTTTTTTTGAAGTTCTCCTGCCCACCTTTCTGTAGAAAACAAAACTGCTCATCTCCTGCTTGAGTCTAGTCTGAGTTCCTAAGTACAGCTTTCTGGGGACCTGGCATTCACTGTGACTCCTAACTTCCAAGCTTCCCTTTCTTTGGTAGAGGAGCTGGTGGCTCTGGGTGGCTCTGGGCTTGGGAGGCACCATGAGCCACCAGTCCTTGCTATGCAAGACCATCTTCTTCCTGCCTTTGTGGCCCTGTCCCTCTCCCTTCTCCCGCCCTGTGGCCTGGAACCAGGTGCAGCAGCTAGAGGCCCCTGCTGCCCAGTCCTGTCTTCCTCGGGCTCAGTGACCGAGTCAGCTGCAGCAGAGTGCAGACAGCAAGGTAAGACAAGGCGGGGTTTGGCACGAGGCTCCGGCTCCGGGACAGGTTCTTTCTCCTTTCCTTCCTCATTATTCAAACTCTGAGTAACAGAGTGACGCGGGGAGCGGGGTAGACATCAGCTGCTGAATAGTTTACAAAGATGTTTCTGTCCTGAAGCTCAGTTTAGAGTCGGCTTTGGAGGAAAGGGAAGGGAACCAGCAGCCTGGTTTCCTTGGGTAAGACGCCCTCGACATTTCCCACTTTTTCCTATCAGGAAGAAGGCAGCAGCATAGGTTTTTGTGCATCAGTTTAAAGTTTTGCTATTAATCACATGAGCATAACCTTCACTCCACCAGTGTGCCAAAAATAGACTTTTGGAACACAAACCGCATCCTTCTAACCTGACAGCTGCTTGGGTGATCAGGAAGCATGGTGGGCCTCAAGCTGCCTGGGGAAGACAGATCCTGCCTCCCTTGCCTTCTCTCTCTCTTTCTACACCTCCTCCCTCAATGAGGATTGAGCCTGTCTAGAGGGACTTGACCTGTGCTCCTTGTGAGGGGAACTGTAGGCCTAGCGCAGGGCATCCTAGCAGGTTCTCTGCAAGGAGCGAAGCAGGAGCCTCTCGTCACGGCCTTGAGGTTCCTGGGCTAGGGCATATTCTTGGTGAATTCTCCTTTTCATTTACTATTCAAAAATCATCCATCAGTTCAACTGTGTATCCAAGACGGTGCTAAGCACCATGGGGTTGTAAAGGGTACCACTTCCAGCACTACTGAGGCGACTGTTGATGATGGCCACACACAAGTCTGACTCTCAGTGGGCCCCCGTGGGGTGGCATGGGACCAGTATGGGGCTGGAGGCAGGAAGGCAGAGGTATGGGTATGAGCCACTCTGTGAAGAGCGTGGCATGGGGAAGAGGACCTGGGTTTGTTCTGTGAGGGAACTAGGAGCTGGTGTGCCGGTGAGTGGGGTGGAGGGGTGAGGGCAGAGCAAGGAGAAGCCCAAGAGGCAGCCACAAACAAGACTGGAATGAGAGCGGTAACAGCCTGCACTACCCGATGTGTGACTGAGCTTCAGACAGGGAGGTCGTGGAGAGACAGAGCAGCCCACGACCTCCCTCGGTGCCAGGAAGCCTCCAACAGACCAGACCTAGGGCCATGTTGTCTTCTAAACAAATGTATTGATCTTTAATTGACATGCAATTAAACTGCCCATTTTTCAGGTGCACACTTCAGTGAGTTTCACATCTTTCCTGAAACTGTCACTACAATCAGAATAACGGTCATATCTGTAATTCCCCAAAGTTTTCCCACAAACTCTCCATGTCTCTTCTTCCTCGCCAGCTCCAGCACAAGCCACCGCTGATGTATTTCCTGTCACAGTTAGATTAGTTTGCTCCTTTGTGTCTCTCTGCCTGCACTTGGCATATTTAATTTGAGGTCCTTCCATACTGGTGAGTGGACCAGCAAAATCGAGTCCTTCCAACAGCTGAGGGTGGTATTCTGCTGTGTGGACAGATGGCAATGTGTCTCTCCACTCACCTAGGGGAGGTGACAGCTGCTGGGGGTGTTTTCATCTGTGACAATCAAGCTGTTGTGAACATGGGGTCTGAGTTTTAACTTACACCCATGCTTTCCTTCCCCCTGAGTGAAGCCTTCATCCTGGGGAGCACATGAGAGGCAAGCGCTATGCTGAGGATGGT